CTCAGTGGAGACTCTGGTCTGGGAAAAGGGAGTACCCTGTCACAGCAAACTCCGTGGCATCACAGCTAGTAGCCAATGACACAAAACCCTAATTGAAATAAAGCTTTCAGTCATGCATTAAAAATGACGGTTTCTGAGACAGCAGATTCCAAATGTCAGCAGGAATCTGATGGCTTCTTTTGCTTACCCAAGCTCAGATTAGTTCTTCATCACCCAACATCATTTGGGACCAGCACTTAAACAATCAGCAAAAGATTATATGCTGTGATTTATGAAGCATTATATTCCACACCACAGATCCCCATCTTGCAAGGATAGGCAAGCATTGTATCTGTGCTCTAGACAAGGAAATCAGTGATAAACAGGAGCTTCTGCCCTGCTTTACAGCTGTGCACTGTCCCACAGCTTTCTGGGGAGGGTAATTTTTATGTGAAACAAGGCTCAATGCAGCCCCAGAAGGCATTTACCAAAAATACAAAGGACTAATCTTTAGGAGGGAAAAAATTAGTTGATGCTGCACTTAGTCATCCTCCATCACTTGAAGCTATCACGTAATATGAGTAGCTAGTTCACTGCACCCTACTTATTTGTCAGTAATTTGTCCTACCACAGATGCAAAATAGACGATGTGTTGTGCAAACTGATTAAGATGCTCTGTAGAGTGCTCTCCTTTACATTCCTAATACCTTTGGTTTATTATACTTGTATGTTGATGCATACGTAACATACATAATACATACACTGAAACTCCCTGAATCAGATATCTCCCCCTATCAAAACTCAGATATTGACATTTGACTCTGAATACAAGTAACATGCTCCAGTGCAGCCTTGTGCTCATGGATTTTATTTTAAAAAGTCCAAATAACTGACTGATACTTTTCTAAAATTTGTTGAATAAAGTACTATTCAATATATTTAATTGGCAGGATACCTGCAAGTAAAAGCAAACCACTGTTGTTAATGAAAATAGATAACAGATATGATTCTGTGGCTAAAGATGTTACTTTGATTTGAGATAACTCACAATGTGTAATACTTTGTCCAACTGTTTGTAGCATATGAGAAAAATTCACACGTTCTGTGCATTTCAGTTTGCATCTGTGCCTATAAGAAACAACTATGTCTTTATTCTTTTTGTGCAGCACACTTGCCTTTCTCATGTGCTGGCAAAGCTAAGGCTAAGCTGCTCAGTCATGTCTCAGACTAATTCCCATAACAACTGAAATAAGTAAGTGTCTCAGAAATGACGGATCAGTCTCTCAACTGTTAAAAATATATATATATTCTATTGTGCTTGTAAAAAAATCATTTGAAAGCAGATTTTGCTCTGTTTGAAGTTACCAAACCAATTTCTTTTAAACTTAATTAAAGAAAATAGTGATTTGCATCTTAGTGGGGCATTTGTACTGAAAGACTCGCTGGGAATGAATATCTCTGTCCAGAATATAAGTCCCTAAAAATTCAGGCAAATAATGAAAGGATTGATACATCTTTAATGATGACAGTGCCAGGGCAATAAAACCTAACACCACAATGTCACTACTTTATACCAGAAATATACAAAAATAAACAAATACTACACATGGAGAAATTATAGAGAAACTCTGTTAACATTTTAAAGGGTAATAAAAATGCCTTTGGCCCATTAAATGTATTCTACTGACTATATGAATCAGTGCCAGAAAGAATCAAAGATTTTATGAAAAAAAAAAGAAATAAAAGAAAATGGCCAACGAACTTGGTAATGTGTGTCCTTGCTGAATAATTAAATGAATGTGCTGGGCATAACCCAGGAAAAAATATGCAGGTAGTTTCATTTTACGGAATCACATGCACACATATACACACACATATGTATTATGTACATATTATACCCACAAGCTCACTATATATGGGATATAATACACAATACAAGTGTGATAATTTGGCAAATATGAAGAAATCAATTAGCATTCTGTCCTTGTCTATTGAACAACTCTTATTAGTTTTTCTAAATTTTAAATATTCAAAGTACATTCTGAAGTTATGTTCATTTTCTCCCTTATTTTAACCTCCAGCACTTGAGCAACTTATTCATCATGGGCAGATGCAAAGGAGAGTCTCATAGTGACAGAACTACTTCTGAGCACTGAAAAATTGTGGGGTATATTGGATTTTGTGTTCAGTTCTGCAAACAATGGAGATCAAATGTAGAAATGAATATTTCTTATTTTATCTCAGAACTAATTTATATATTAAAAAAAAAAAGACCTGAATTATTCCATCTGTATTAACTTGCGTTTCTCCTTGTTTTGGGCAGTGAATTCTTATGGCAAAATTTTGGTTTCAAAATCAACTCTTCAGATGATGCCTATTGCAAATTCTTTCTCAAAAGTAACATTATACCTAGTCCTACCACCAAATGCAGGAGCAATTCTGTTCCTAAGTCTATGCCTACCTCCTTGCAAAACAGAAAACTTTCTTTTTTAGTACAATAGACAAATCACTGAGGTAAACAGGAATAATCTATTTTCATGTACTTCATGGGGGTCACAGTGATTGTCTGCTTCCCATGAATACCAAGAGTAGGAAATATTTTCCATTACCACCACACTGTTGATTTCCTCCTGCTTTTTACTGTTCTCCTCCCTCAAGCATTATGAACAATTATGAGGCTTAAAGCAGTCTTTGTGAAATGTCTATACTGTACATTGCAAAAAGAAGTCTCGAGCTGCATGAGGCCTATGAATGTTTCTAATACAATTATGGTAAAGCATCCTCAGAATGAGACATCTTTTCAGTAATCTACCAGGCTAAAAAACATACCTCAAACTTTTCGAATACATCTGATCTATCACTTCTTCATGTGGCCAGAAGACACAGAACATACACCAAAAGTCAAATAAATATAGGAGAATCATCAGAAGTTATTATTTCCTTCAAGTTTCTCAATCCATCTTCTCTGCTCTACATCTTCCTTGTAAAGATTGTTAATCATTTAGCAAAACTGCAGCTGCCCTAGTAATTGCCTGACCAACCCACCACCCCCCCCCACTGGAATTGCAATCCATTAGATTTAACTTTACCAAGAAAAATAAGGGTCTCTCCTGTGGTATTATTCTGAAGTCAGATGGCTGTTAAAGGATCCAAAAGATGCAAAGCATCTCCTGGAGATGCTGCTCTGACCTTCTCTTAGTTGGGATCCTTCTACCTTCAGCCTGTGAAATAAGAGGGTTTGGGTAGCTCTGTGTGGATTGATAACTTGATAGGGACATTGAAAGGCAGAAGCAGATGAAGATTTTTCCCTTTGCAATTTGAAAAGCCCCAAAGGCTGGGAAGTCAGTAGACTGGGATTACTCCAATGAATGCATACGTGCCTCTCTTTGAACAAGAACTGTAGTTTAATCTATTTACATTAATTCTACCATGACCTCTGCAATATGTCACAATAAACTCTGAATGAATCCATAAAAAACATGTTTGAAAAATTCATAACTAATCAGATCACAAAAAAGTTTGGCTTCCTATTTGGACCAGATGGAAGAAATTTTACAGAAAGCACATGTAGCTTCATTTTTTTACCTTCAAACCCCAAAGAGCTGAGGTCTAAGTGACTTTGAATCATTAAATACTCTGCAGAATTTTCCTCTTTAGCAAATTTTATTTTCTCCTCACTGTTGAATTTCCTTACCTTTCAGCTGCTCAGCTAGTATATGGTATATTGCCTCTGTGGGTATATGGGGCTGCAGTCAGGCTAAAACAAGTTATGTGCACACACAGAGCAAGGAATAGGGCCTCTTCCCTGTGCTTATTTTAACAGCTTTGGCCAAGCAAAATAATATTTTGCTGAAGAGTCTGAAATATTATGAATGGCAAAAACATAAGATTTCACATCCAGTGTCTTATACCTCTATTTTCCTTCAGATATATGATCAGAAATATGTATAATTAATACAAAGTAATTGACAGGAAAAAATCCTATAATGAGAACTAGCAGCACAGGTATCATCTTATCAGCCAAACGAATAATAATAATAAAGATATCCATAAAAATTTCATGGAGAATATTTGGCATCTGGGACAATTCATACATGGAATGAATGAGGTAGTCCCACGATTGTTCTGGATCAGGCTTTCTGCTTTTGCTATAGCTTCTTTTGCACAGCCCATAATGTTTATTCTGCACAGAATATTATCAACAATATGCATGGCTCAACCTACTAAGCTAATATAGTTCACACTATTATGTTGCTTCATTTGCCAAGCTAGACAGTCATTAACAGCTCTTGTGTTTCGTCATTTATTTAACTTCCACATTTTGTAATATTTTCATTCACACCTAAAATCATAGAAAACTATTAATGAAATGGAAGGTGGTTTGATATGATATTTTCAGCAACATTTCCTGGAAAGTGTATAAAACTATATATGAATGCTAAGCCCTTGCTTTCCATAAAAAAAAAACAATTTCTTGCACACAAACACACAAAGTTTTGACTAAATGCGTGATATCAAAGTCATCCTTTTTTGTCTTTGAGGTAGTAAAACAGGACAATCTGCCTTGGAAGGGACCTCAGGAGATTCTCAGACCAAACACTTGCTTTGAGTCAGGTCAGGTTGCTCCGGATGCTATTTATTTAGATCTCAAAAACTTCCAAGAATGGAGGCTGAATAACCTCCCTGGGCAAAACAATATCCCAGATAGAATATACATTCTTTAAATAAAATGCAATAAATCTTGCAAGCAAACCCACAAATGTACTCTTTTAGAGATGTACACCTTTTACCACATTTTCTCAAAAGACAGAGAATAAAAACACCTGAAGAACAGTCCCAAGTTCCACATTCCTATTTTTGCCCATTTAATTTTTCATTAGTTGAGCTCTTTATACAAAAAAAAAAAAAAAAAAAAAAAAAAATTATCAATACAAGCCTTTACAATCCAAAATACACGTTTTCAGACATGAGTATTTTGTCAGTTCCAAGATTTCTCACTCATCAGTTGAATGTGAACTTACCTGAAACCCCTGTGATTTCATACGCTGGCTCCAGACTTATCTCTTTCCACAGCATGTGTAGCAATAATGTCCCACCTGGTGTCTGAATGGAGATTGCTGACCTTCCCGTTGCCAACTGTAAATGAATACAAATGCTCAGCTGAAGTTTTCAGTATTCTCATGGGCAAATTTCAGCTAGATTTTTTGGTCAGCCAAGACTGTTCTAACATTACCAATAAGAATTTTTGCTTTAATTTCAGCTCCTTCTGATGTAGCAGACGTAGTCATGTACAGCAGCTTCATATAGCACTTTTTTGTGTGTGCCTGTGATAGTTTTTGTCCCCAATTATGGTAGAAAAGGGCCTGACAAGGGTCATGAAACTTCTGCTGGGTTGCAGCAGAGTTTGCAGTTAAGGTCCTGCTAGTTGGCTATTTTTATTCTTTGGCATCATTAGTGTCTGGAAAAATGCCCTGAAAAATTGAGTCCAGGCACATTGACTTCAGAAATTGTTATATATTAACCAGAAATTTCCTCTTTCCCCACCTACTTTTAAAATTTTTAACAGTGGAATATATTGAAACATGCAGAGAACTGTAAAATAGCCAAGTGGACTTATATAAAACTCACTGAAATGATCCACTCAGCAATGAAATAAATCAGGGGAAATATCAGCTAGGAAAGAGGATATCCAAAGAAAGTGACTGCAGACCACTAGTTAAAATTAAAGTGTGATATCCCTTTCAATTCCCATTTCTCTGTTCGTAAGTAGCCAATGGCATATTCTAAATGAAGAAATTTTCTTCATTAACTGGTTTGGTTTCAGAAAAATCTCCCATTAAATCCATTTTACTTTCCATTCTCTGTGGCAAACAATGGCAACAACAAAAGTTATCCCTTCTTTTGGATCAGCACTGGATGTCTGCAGGCTGATGCTTGCATGGGCACATTTGCGTTCAGTATGCAAATGCAGGCACTTCATGTTGGCTGATGAGCATCTCTGGGGAGATGTGACAAGTGTTGAAACATGTGGGACAAATCCCATTCTTCAGTTGTGTGTTTTGTAGCCCTGCATCTATTGTCTGCAGGGAGGAAGTAAGCAGAGTGCCTTAAAGATGAGAGCAATGCTGGAAATGGTGATCAGAGCCTGAGTTTGCTTACATCTGTTATGGAGAGTTACAATGATATTTCTGAGAACTCCAATTACCACTTATAACTATGTTTTCCAAGAAAACTCCCAATATAGTAGCTGTCGTGAACAAAGACCGCAGGCTATAAGCAACAAATGATCTAACCTTCCTGCCTTTTGGGGCATATTTTCTTTGGCCGGATCTGCAGACAGTTGGTGTGAGGTGCGGGGGACAGTCAGGCTGGCTCCTGTGCTGCCACAGGAGCCTGTGATGCAGCTGAGAGGATGGGACTGAAATGCTGATAAGTGGCACTGCCTTCACAGACCTGCCTCTCTCATCTGCCCTGCTTTAGCACTTTGCAGCTCACATCAGCAATACAAGGCACAAGATTTTGACTAAAGTCTCCAGTGCCTGAGCAAGAAGTAGTAAGTAGAATCTACACTCAAAATTTAAGGGAGTGGACTTCACTTTAGTTCCCTTCCTGCTTAGAATGGACAAGTGGAGGCAGTATGGGGAGCTGCCACATGCATCCCAGCCACCTCTCTCATTTTAGTTTGACAATTTTAGCATTTTGCAAAAAAATGCAACCAATTCTAGCACTGTTAACCATTGCAACATGTAGCTGGTAAGCAGAAGAACATTTTAACTGCTTCTCATCATAAACACTCAGAACTTGAATTTTGGCTTCACTAACTTTTGACTAATTGTATCAAAGACCTTAGCTATAGTTTCATCCCTATTTTTATTTCCCCTGCAATATTAGCTTCTCTTTTGTTTATTTTTTGCTTAAAGACTTTGACATTTAGAAGCAATTTTATATTTCCTATCCTGGCAGTATTCAAAGAAGGACTACACAGATGGACAAATAATCATATCAAGATCTGAGGTAACGCTTCCCTTCATCTCGGTCCACTTGGGTAAACTCACACCACGTGCCAGCATGAACTATTCTTGTAACAAGGGCTGTAAATCCCTGCTGAAACTTATTTGGGAAGGGTAATTTTGGCTATGCATAAGTGCCATACGTTAAATATATTACAGGTGAAACCTGCTAAGAAAGGCTTTGACATTTATAAGTTACACCAACAGCGTATAATTCAGAGACTCCAAATTCGAGAGAATGCAATAGAATATTATTTTATATAGCAATTTTATCTTCAGTTTCTTCAATAAAACTTAAAGAAACATTCAATGCCATTACACCCTCTCGTATGTTTTTTTGGAAAGAAAGAACAGCAGCAACAATAACAAAAAAAAATAGTTTCCAGTATTTAGAATTAAATAATTTTACTTCAGTTCTTCCTAGGTAATCCCTGTGCAAATGTTACCTTCCTACTGCTGAGGAACCTGGGAGGCTTGGACAGCACCTGTAGCTCTGCCTGTGCACTTTCTGCATTAGAGCAACAGAGCACGGTCTATTTGCAAAGTTCCATCCACTTCTCTGCCTAGTTATAGGTCTTATTCCAAAGTTGCCAAGTGGTCCAAGCAACCTTAGGGATATTGCTTTTGCTAGAGCTATTTGCCACTGAATTAAATTTCTCTGTAAACCTTTTATTTCTTATTGTGCCCTGGTGCATTGGGAGCACCTAATACTCACTTGTAAAACTGCAGGAGATGTGTTTCTTGCACACAGTGTAATTCTCGTGAGAGGTTTTAAAAGTTGAAACTAATTCTCCCATGTTAAGGTGGTCCAATTGCTGCATTTCCCAACAGGTCAGTGTCTGCTTGTCACTACCTGGATACAACCTCCTCTGATATTTTGTTGGAGTCAGTTCCAAGTGAGTGCTTTTGGCTTCTGTGTGGCAGTTTGGAATGGAAACTAATTCTCCCATGGACTAAGCAATGAGCAAAGAAAAGGACATGACACAGGGAGTCTCTCTCTAATATGAGCACAAATATCTGACCAAATGGAAGGTGTTGCCCCTCCTTTTTGAGTTTAACTGTACTTTAAAATATGTCCTAGAAAAATAGTAGTCAGTTTCTCTTAAGCAGATATTTTCTCTTAAGAAGACAACCATATCCTAACCCATTATCTGCATATATTATGAGTGACAAGAAATAGATATACTTATTTAACTCATCCTCATTTGGTTTCTCACAGACGATTTGGGAGATAACCATGCCATCCAGGAGATGCAGCTGTGGTGCAGCCTCAGAGCATGGCTGAGGCTCACCCAAGATAATTTTCACCTTAGCCCAAACAGAAGTATCAGAGGTGCAGCCAAAAAATGCACAGGTTCCATCTGCTGGGTCTGGACCAGACTCTGACCCAACCAGCTTCTTTTTGCTTCACAGCATCTCTAAATATCCATTCCTCCTCTATTTCCAGCACACATCTTTTCTGTCAGCTTGTACCTGTTCATTTCTAGATCAGTAACATCAAATTTGCCATCTCATACCTCCATTCAATGAGAGACTACTGCTCTGGTCTTGGGGGTAGCTGCGTTACACACAAAACATCTGGGATGTAAGTTTGAGCCCGGGAAGCATCAAGATAGCACAGCCTCAATGGCTGCAGATGCTTTTAGCCATGCAGTGATTAAAAATGGCAAATACTAAATCTTCCACTGGTCCAGAATTAAAAATTATCACTCCTGGCACTTAGGTAGATGCAACTCTTATAAGATTCATAGAATCATAGAATCACAAGGTTGGAAATGACCTATAAGATCATCTAGTCCAACCGTCTCCTCATCGCCATTGCCACCACAAGCTACTAAGCCATATCACACTGCATGTCATCCAGACTCTTGAACACTGCCAGGGACAGCCACTCCACCACCTCCTTGGGCAGGCCATAATTCCAGATTTGTGCTGGAATCTGTGATCACACTGATTCAAGATCACTTAGTCTTGCTAGCTTCCACAAATCTGACTATATGGAAAAATAACATTGTGAATCATTTTAACAAAGAAAACTTCCACATAAGCTGACAAATGTAAAGAGCTTAGAAAGTGTGAATAGTTGAGGTCTGCAAGGAAGATAAGTAGTCTGCTGAATTTCAAAACAATAATAAAAAAAGCTAGGAGCTATGTATTAATAAAATTGCTTTACAAATATTAATTTAAAGATGTCTGTGGCCCACTTCTTGTAGTCAGAATCTAATAAAGCACCTATCTTCAAGGAGACTTCTTTCATGTTTAAGAAGTCCATGTTTAAGGGCTTTGCTGGGTTCCTGGCAACGAATGTTGTGTTTCCAGCAAGTGTTGTGCTGCCTGCAGTCTCCAGCTTAGTCCAATGGACATTGTCTTGCATCCAGTTCACAAGTCAAAAGGCCATACATTTTACTGTAACAGAGTGCTTAAATCCGGACTTAATGAACAAGAATGAGAGAAAGGCTGCTAGTTGGATTTTATGCTCATCGTCTTTACAATTCAGAGCATGAAGTTTTCTATTCTTTGTATACATCTGCATAATATTATCCATATGACAACCATAATAAAGGAAAGATAATTAAAACCAGGGTGGTTGGAACTAATACAAAATAAACAGTTTGCTTAATAACTCTAGCTAATTTTCCTTATGAGAAATTGAATCTAATGCTTCCATCCAAGCTACACAGGGGGTGGAACAGAAGAAAAAGCAAAATATTTAGCTTACATCACCTGAAAGCAATTTCCTCTTTGATCCTGTTTTGATTGAGATGCCAAAATCACTTCTTCTCCAAGATCAACAATTCCTTCTCCATCTCTATGTGCATCTCCTTCTGGCCAATTGTTAAGAACCTAGTGATGTTTCAGAATGATTTTTATTAAATAGTATTTCCATATGCGAAAAAGGCTTCATAATTAGCCTCTTTCTCAGCTATATTAGTTTTGCTCCAGCTTTTTGTGTCCAAGACAAAAACCAAATCTTTAACATAAAGTTGAATACTTGGATGGATCTTATCCCAAACTTCTGGTAGAATTTAAAATTACTTAATTTCTGCTTATTGGAGGAAATTGACTACTATTTATCTCTCCCTCCTTAGAGAAAGCCTTTTCCTTGTGTGTAGTTAGCTGTATAGCTTGATCTATTCTTGCAGAGGAAAAAATTAAGAGGAAGCTTGGTGTATCTTTATCTATAGAGAACTCTGATTCTGCAATTGCACTCACACACACTAGCCAATACTGCCATCACTCCAGTTAGGGTGTACCATTGACTGCTGTGTGTGGCCTTTACCTTCTAATAAATCT